CTCCTCCTCCTCCTCCTCCTCCTCCTCCTGTCGATCCTGTCGATCCTTGCGCAGCCAAGCTCCTCCAGGCGAGACAACTGGGCGGCGGGCGACGGCGAGCGACGCGAAAACGAGGCCAGGGCCAGCAGGCGCGACCGCACCGCTAGGGCCCCGACCGATGGAGGGGTACAGGCCGACCCACGAAGGATTTGGTGGACGGATCCTTCCCCTCCTTCAGCTGCTTTAGGGTCTTCTCCGCTGGCTTGTTGGGAGGCGCGCCAGGGCACGGACCTCCCAATAGGCACAGCTTGACAGACCCAAAAGCAGCGCACGAATTACACCAAACAACACGCCCGCCGCTAATCCAGAGCTTATGGCTGGAGTGGGCGAGCCTGGCAAGCCTGGGGAGGCCCGAGCACGGCAGTGCGCACACTGACACCTCAGAAAACCCCGCGGCACCACAGTTGACACAGAGATAGGCCCCCTTCCCCTTAGTGCCCGTCCTGTGGACAGCATGCCCCTTAAAATCACAGACCACAACTAAAGGGTCATGCTTGGGGCGGGGGGGGGCCTTACATTTCTGGACATCGGGGAAATTCTGCTTGCTGAGCATCTCCCCAAAACACGCAATGAACTTACTGAAGTCTGCTACCTCCGAACTTCTCTGTCTCTGGAGGGCGCGGAGGCGAGGATTGCAAGGGTGCTCCAGGGCTCCGCGCTTCGCAAGACCGTCAGCAATGCCGTTGCCGACCCAGGCCCAGTGAGGGGCCTCCGAGGTCTCTAGACACCTGCTTCAGGAAATGTGACTCTTAATTTTGTGCAGGCAGATCATTCCTAGACCTATATCTAGAACACGATTCCATACGAGCTCCCAGACCTCCGGGAAAACAACCTCAGACATGTCCGACTCGAGCCCGCGGGCCCACACGTCCAAGACAGCCTGGCAATCAGTGTAGATCTGGGTGCACTGCGAGGGCCCAATGAGCTTGAGGGCCATCAGCAGCGCATACAGTTCACCTGCTCCTGATTCCTGGACGGGATGAGGAAGGGGTCCAAACGCACTGCCCTCGCAACGACTGCTCTGATCCATGGCTACCACTGCCCACCCTGCACGCGCAGCGTACAGGGAAGTCGTGTCGAACCCTGAGCCGTCGATGCATATCCTGGTGCCTAGGAAACCTGCTTCTGGCACTTTATCCCACCGCCAGGTCTCGGCCGTGGACACCTTGGGCCAGTCGTGCCCTGGGTCTGCACAGAGCGCTCTCGTCGACAAGAAATCGTAGGCGCCCAGCTGCAAGCCTCTGTCCACGCACTGCGGCAGGTCTAAGTCCCGCCTAAACATAAAGAAACCGTCACACTGGAACAAGCGATGCTGAGGCGTGCCGTTATACATGCCGCAGACCCTGCACAGCGGCGTGATGGCTCGCCTGTCCTGGAATAAAACATCCTGAGTGGGATGACCTCCTGCGACTACATTACACAAAAAGGCGGCAGCTGAGTTTCTCCCCGCTTTCCTGAGGCCTCTGAGGGTATCCATGATGGGCCCCAGGAGGGGAGGAACCACACGCTCAGGATCTTCGGGGTCAGGGACCCCAACATGCTCCAGGAGCCTCATGTGTGTACTGTAGTCAATCAACTTAGTGAGGGTGCGCTTCCCGAAGTGGTTGAGGTCCAGTAGGAAGCCACGGCAAGACTCCCAGGTGTCCCAAGCAGTAAACCTCCAGCCCAGACGATCCAGGGTAGCCCACACAGCTCCAGCAGGCCCCCGAACCTTGTCCCAAGTCCTGGAGGCTGCCTTGGGGTAGGCCTGCACGCAGGCCCTCATGATATGCTCGGGGACCCATTTCTGTTTCACCGCCTGTTGCCACATCTTGAGAGGCAGGAGGTTGGCCTGGAACACAGGGTCCAAGCCCTTGGTCGGGCCCGACAAAAACTGCAGAGTCCTGGAACGGCCCCTTCCTTTGCCGAACGATGCCTGACCTATGATAGAGCGCAGCTTCATGACCGTGGAAGTGTTCATGCCTATGACCGCTGTGCCGTAAAAAGCTGCTGGTAATCCACCTGTCTTCACGACCTTGCACAAGCCCGAGTAGCCCGAGCGGAGGCCCCTAAATCGGCGAACTCGGGGCCCCAAACTCTCCCATCTCGATCCCTGGACTGGAGTTCGGCGCCGACCTGCAGTGTGGTCAACCCCTAGGTTGCGAGCTGACTTGACCACCTGGAATTTCCAACGCAATAGTCGTGTTTTCACCCGAACCTCAATGTCCCGAGAGGTCGCCGTGATCAGGCTTTTCGTGGGAGAGATCAGGAAACCAAGTTTCTCCAGGTTGCTGCACAGCGTAAAAGAAGCATCGACCGCCGTTCTCGCCACCTCCCTAGGCTTACCTGTAGCACCACACGTAATATCATCAACAACATTGTAAATCCGAACCGAAGGGAACTTCGAAACCACATGGTCAAGCGGGTCGAGAAGGAGGCACTTTAGCAGGGTGGTGGCGAACGTGCAGCCTGCCAAGATCGCCTGGATGCAGGCGACAAACTCAGAGCAGACCCTGCCCACCTGCAAGACCCTCTGGCCCCTGTGCAAGCAGAGGAGGTAGCGCAGGCGATGCAGAGGGAAACCGTGCTTGATGGCCGCCGAGGCCAAGAAGAAATGAACCACCTTCTCATGGCACTTGGTCATATCGGCCAGAACAGATGCTGCTGAGTGCCCAAAAACGTACGCGTGCTCCATCCTAATAGCCTGCTCCCAAACAGCTCTTTCGCACGAGCGCCCCCTGCTTCCGAAATGGTAGGGCCTGTCATGGGCCCGCTCCCAACGATCAGCCCGTGCCCGAGAATATTTCCCAAAGCACCTGACACTTCCTGACAAGGTTCCGATGGGCCGAACTCCACCTTCCTCGTCCTTGGGGATCATGGCAATGATAATCGTGGCCAGGACCTCGGGAAGCTTGCCAAGAGACTCCATCCAACACCAGAGGGCAGCCACGCACTCCAGAGCCCCGTCGCTGAGGATCTCGAAATCCCTGGGGTGTGTCCTATCAGCGCCTATCGCCGTCCTAACTTTGAACTTCCTGGAGCACTTTCGGATCTGATCGGGCGTGGCCAAG